TAGATAGATAGATAGATAGATAGATAGATAGATAGATAGATAGATAGATAGATAGATAGATAGATAGATAGATAGATAGATAAGTATGTACTGTATATTCTGGGGCGGCACAGTGGCTCAGTTGGTAGAGCTGATGTCTCTCAGCAAGAAGGTCACCAGATCAAATCCCGGCCCGGGGACCCTTCTGGGTAGAGTTTGCATGTCCTCTCCGGGTACTCCGGCTTCCTCCCACAGAACAAAAACATGACTGTTGGGTTCGTTGGTAACTCTAAAATTGTCCCTAGGTGTGAGAGAGTGAATGGTTGTTTGTCTGTGTGTGTGTGGCCCTGTGATGGACTTGCAACCTGTCCAGGGTGTACCCCGCCCCTCACACTGTGACCCAAGTGACCCTGAAAGGAAGAAGCGTGTACAGAAAATGGATTCGTATATATATATAGCTATGTTTGATTTCCCTCATTGCACATTCTTTTAAAGTTGTTTGCATGAGGCGAAGGCAAAACAATGTAGCTAAATGTGAAAATAATTTTCTATATGTCTGTCAAGTCCAGTTTTGTTGCTGTTACATGCCTTGCTCAAGGGCCCAGAGTGGGGAAAATGAGAGCTGCCCACTCAGATTTTTGCTGTTGATACTGGGATTTGAACCAATCACCTTCCAATCACAGGCTCACATTTTAACCTCTGTGCCACCACTCCCCTTCTATGTCGTTGAAGTAAAAGGGATCTATGAAAAAGTTTTTACTGCTTGAGAGAGGAATAAAACCGCCTGAGGTATTTGTTTGTGGCGAAATATTGTTGTCTCACCTGTGCCCATTTCAAAACCCATCCGACTGGCTCCATGACGTAACACATAAGACATGGATTTAGACAGGCTGACATCTCTGTCCGGCTGGTGAAGAGGAGAGAACACACTGAAATACATTTTGCTCTAATTATAGCTGGGCTGTAAGTATAAACCAGGCCTCTGCTGTGTCCAACCACTCATGTTGGATTAAAACCAAGAAATTTTAAACAGTCATAATTTAGGTATACCGACCAAATGGTATTCTGTTTCAATTAATGTCAATTCTCACCTCCCTATGGCTTCCTTTGACTCCTCTTCTGCCCCCTCTTCCTCCTTCACTGGCTCTATCCATTCAAACCCAGGAAGTCTTCTCTGCAGCTTTAAAATAGTGTCATCTGAACGAATTTCATTTCTTTCTACGTCCACTTGTGGTTCACAAAATACTTTACATATTTTCTACTTAGCTAACCGCTGACGAATAATAATGTGGTCACTCCAGCAGATTTATGTCCACTTCCGGTTTGTTCCACCGGTCCGCCTGCAGGCGGAAGTGTGCTCTGTAGCTGTGCACCACAGAAGAAGAAAAACATGTCGATGAGAAAAACATAAATACGTGTTGGGTACATGCAGGTAGGAAAATTCAGTCTTTATTTTGTCAATATTAGTAAAAGGCAAAGAAAGCAGGTTGCTGTCCCTGTTTCGCAACACATCCAGCCACGAATCTGCGGAGCTGAAAACCTCTGTGTTTGAGCAAATACAGCTTAATGCTATTATTGTTAGCATCGTTGAGCTAACCAACTCCCCTTTTCACAATTCCCGAATTAGATGAGTGGTTTATTTGATATAAATCGTACAATTTGCGTTGTTTCTAATGGAAATGCACGTCTAATACTTTGTTCATATGTAATTTTTACTTGAAAAAGGTTCGGGTCCCGAAGGTGGACCGTCAAATTCTGTCTGGTTTCCATGGAAATGTAAAGTAGGACGACAGTTTGAGGACTATCAGGAAGTCACTGATGACAGCTCACCACAGCACGTGACGAGAACTCACAGCACAATTATATTCATGAAATGTTGACTCACTACACTGTTTATCGTTGTAGCTTAACCTGAAACAGGTGTGTGTAATACAGGGGTCTGCAACCTTTACAATCAACAGAGCTATTTCTGCTGCTTGGCTCACTAATAAAATGTGTCCAGAGCCACAAAACAAGCTGCAACTCTGATTATCAACTGGTGGTCTGTGGGCCTTTTGGAGGCCTTTTCATGAAACCTTACAGCCACTGGAGGTGACATTATAAAACTAAACAATATATTGTGAATTGTATTATTTATTATCTTTGCACATCAGGACAAATAATAAGACCATATTCATGTATACAAGAAAAATACTGTATATAGTTTACTCCGAATTTCATAAAAACTAGTACAACTGAAGTATTAGAGCATAAGTTTTTTTTTTCTAATTCTTATTATGTAGTTGTAAAGGTATTTAAAGGTAACCGTGGTGGATTTGAGAGAAAAGTCAGAGAAAGAACTTGGATTATTTAAGTAAACAACAGGCTAGCATGAGCTAACAGGTTTTACTTTAAGTATTAAAAAAACGTTAAACAACAACAAAAAACATTATTCTGTTAGGTTTGGTCACATTTTCAAAGAGCCACTGCAGAGGGACTGAAGAGCCACATGTGGCCCCAGAGGTTACAGGTTACAGACCCCTGGTCTAATAAATTATAATAACGTGAAAAATCACATTTTTTGGTCAATCATTAAAGAAAGTGAAACCCATAGATTCATTATATGTAAAATACTTCAAACCTTTATCATTTGTATTTTTGATGGCTATGGCTTACCAAAAAAATAAACAAAAAAGAGATAGAAAAATCCAGTGTCTCCATACGTATTTCTCCTTGTGCACCAAACAGTTAAAAAGGCATCTTGTTAGCATCCTCTCTTGTGAACGTTTGTGTGATGTGAAAACTTAGCTTGAATTAGATGAACAAATACAGCAACCCTTCCTCAGAACATGACTAAACAAACAAACAAACAACCTTTTGTCTTTGAAATTTGACTCCTTGGAAGCTAAGTATCAAGAAATTACACATAAATTTACTCAACTAATACTTTTTTTACTGTTTGTCCCCAAATCTAAATATTAATGTTTTGGTGGCTGCACCCAGACTGTGGAACCAACTACCACGTATCTGGGATTTTTTTAATTATTTACCCATTTACACACACATTCATGCAGCACTTCGTCTCCCTGCAAAGCTAATCTTTATAAATTGTTCTATGGAGAATGATCAGTGCTTAAATCACACTCACACTGACAGGACACACATCAGAGGCAGTGTTTCAGCATGTGACTAATAGCAGTGGAATCGAACCACCAACTCTCTCATTGGGGGACGACTTCCCTAACCACTCATCCACAGCTGCCCTATGATTAATAATGTGATAAACGTTGATGGACTCAACTGTTCAAACCCAACAGTAATGTTTACTACTTGCACCCACCATGTGTTTGTACATTTTACTATATTTCATTTTTATTGGTTTGTGATTTTTCGTAACAGATTAATTTTCTCATGAAAGCTTATTTGAAATCCTTACGTTTGTGTTTTACTGTTTGTTTTTGTTTAAGCCTCTACTTGTAGATTTTCACATTTTCCTGTTTCTCTTCTCTGCTGAGGTCATGGAGTTTCCTCAGCATTCCCAGCAGCTGCTGTCAGCTCTGCGGTCCCAGCGCCAGCGAGGCTTTCTCTGCGACTGCACCGTTTTGGTGGGCTCGTCCCGTTTCCTGGCTCACCGGAACGTTCTGGCCTCGTGCTCGCCCTTCTTCCACATGTTCTACTCTGACTCTCCGGGGGGAAACAGCAGCAGCTCTGTCACACTCGACAGTGACATTGTTACATCTGCTGCATTTGGATTGCTTTTAGATTTTGTCTATGAAGGCGTGCTCCAGCTGGATGATTCTCCTCCGCTGGAGGACATTTTGGCAGCTGCCAGCTTCCTTCACATGAACGAGGTGGTGAGAGTCTGTAAGAAGCGACTGCAGAGACGAGGGCCTCTGGCCGAGGCAGACAGCACACGCTCTGAGGAGAGCGGTGGGCTGAGGAAGGCAGCAGAAACGGGGACAGAGGACGACCACGGAGCTGAGCTCTTGGAGGCCTTGGCACTGGACCACTTAAACACTGTCACCATAGCAACTCCGCTGTCATCTGGATCCCAAGTGGCAGAGAGGAGTCAGGGGGAGTCTGTGAAGTCTGAGCAGAGGACTGGTGGAGGGCTGTCAGAGGAGCAAGTTCAAACTCCTCTGAGCCCTGACCTCGCTGATACCACCCAGCCAGGCATGGACATGCCGGCCTTGCACCCAGCTGGGGAGCGGATGCAGGGCCTGGTCGTAAACCCATCTGCCCCCACCTCCAGGGGTCACACCAGGGTGGGTCGAGGGGGTCAGGGCAAGGGATCTGCTCTCTCCAGTCCTTGTAGCACCACAGAGATATACAGGTGAGGGTCTAGTGTTGATTTTGATAAACATTCAGTTTGAAAAAAAAAACATTTATGGAGATGTTGTAATCTCAGTATTATTTATTTTAGTTTAATCTGTAATGTCACTATTTCAGAACACATTGACTTGTAACCAGTGGTTTAGGAGAAGCATTTTAGCTGCCTGACATTCGTAATTTTGTTTTTTGTCCCTTTAAGATCAGAAATTTACTTTTAAAGCTGTACACACTCTAATAACAGTGCCAATAAATAATAATGAACAGTAAAAAAA